CCTTCCTTCCTTCCTTCCTTCCTTCCTTCCTTCCTTCCTTCCTTCCTCCTTTCTCTTTCCTTCCTTCCTTCTACTTCCTTCCTCCTCTATCCTCCTTCCTTCCTTCTTTTTTCTTCCTCTTTCCTTTTTTTGGTCTTTCCATTTGTAATCTTCTTCCCCGAGAAAGTATTTTCAGACAATTGTATTCTCCAACACTCTCCATAAATGGCTTCTGAGCCTTGTCAGGTTGCATTACTCTCCCTTTTGAGCAAATCCTTCTGATCCTGTCGTTTACAATAAGGAGGCTTCTCATGAAGCCATTCAGAGGCTGTGAATGGATTTGCACAATCTTGGCAGGCCTCACCATCCAGGGCCCTCCGAGATCTCCCTTTTGGGCTATGTGACATTTTTACACTTAATCCTTCTGCGTTCCGGGTGACCCCTCGGTTTGCAAAAAGCTCGACTTCCCTCGTGAGTGGTCACGTGCATTGAACAATTGGCTTCAATCTTGCCGCGAGTCTCGTTCCGAGCTCCTTCTTAGAAAAGCCAAAAGCAGAAATCCAAAGGGGTTGGAAAAACAAAAGTCACTTTATTAATACAACGCAGCAAGAAGATTTAGCAGGTGGCTGTAGTTTGATTGGAGACTCGGCTTTTACAAAGCCTTAAGTAGTTAATCATCACAGGGAAAAACGTGTCCCTTAACAGATAACAGATAATCAAAGTTGGAAGGGACCTTGTAGGTCATCTAGTCCAACCCCCTGCCCAAGCAGGAGGCCCTATACCAATTCTGACAGATGGGAGTCCAATCTCTTCTTGTAAGTCTCAAGTGATGAAGCTCCCACAACTTCCGAGGGCAACTTCTGTTCCATGGGTTGATTGTTCTCACTGTCAGAAAGTTTCTCCTTATTTCCAGGTTAAATCTCTCCTTGATCAGTTTCCGTTCATTATTCCTTGTCTGGCCTTCGGGTGCCTTGGAGAATAGCTTGATCCCTTCCTCCTCTCTGTGGCAGCCGCTGAACTATTGGAAGACTGCTCTCCTGTCTCCCCTGATCCTTCTCTTCCCTAGACTAGCCAGGCCCAGTTCCTGTAACCGTTCTTCATATGCCTTAGTCTCCAGTCCCCTCATCATCCTGGTTGCTCTTCTCTGCACTCTTTCTAGAGTCTCAATATCTTTTTATAGTGTGGTGAGCAAAACTGGATGCAGGACTCTAGGTGTGGTCTTACTAAGGCTTTATAGAGTGGTATTAGTCCCTCCCTTGATCTTGATTGTATCCCTCTGTTAATGCAATTTAGGATTGCATTGGCTTTTTTGGCAGCTGCTGCACACGACTGGCTCCTATTTAGCTAGTTGTCGACAAAGACTCCAAGATCCCCTGTCACAGTTCCTGCTATTGAGCCTGGTTTCCCCCAGTCTATATGTATACTTTTGGTTTTTCTTGCCTAAGTGTAGGACTTTACTTTTCTCTACATTGAACCTTAAATCAGGGGTCTCCAACCTTAGCAACTTTAAGCTTGGAGGACTTCAACTCCCATAATTCCCTAGCTGGCTTTCATGCTTAAGGCGGGACTAGAACTCACTGTCTCCTGGTGATTGGCCCAAGGTCACCCAGACGGCTTTCATGTCTAGGCAGTACTAGAACTCACTGCCACCTGGTGATTGGCCCAAAGTCATCTAGCCGGGTTTCATGGCTAAGACAGGTTTAGAGCTCTCCGTCTCCTGGTGATTGGCCCAAAGTCACTAAATGAGCTTTCATGGCTTAGGCGGGACTAGAACTCACCGTCTCCTGGTTTCTAGCCTGCTCCCTTCACCGTTACACCAACCGGACTCTCTTGAACTAATCAAAGGGATTGGATTTTTCCCCTTTGTGCCTTTCTCAGTCTCCAGGGACCTACCGAAAGTTGATGGTTCTGTGTTTTTCTTTCCTTTTAGGAGACCGGAAGCTCTTCGTGGGCATGTTGAATAAACAGCAGTCAGAAGAAGACATTCTCTGCCTCTTCGAACCTTTCGGGGTCATCGACGAATGCACAGTGCTCAGAGGTCCAGACGGAAACAGCAAAGGTCAGTCAAGGACCCAGATGGTTGGCGGCAATAGGCAAATCCTTCTTACATTATAAACTGTTCAGTTACTGTAAAGCGTTAGAGGGCATTAAATAACTCTAAATTCTATCAATAAAGGAGAATATTTGTAGCTTCGGGCTGAAATGAAGGATCCTGGATGTTCTCTGAACTGCTTTGTTTCCTTGCAGGAGTAGCCCTGATGATGTTACCTAGTTAGGACAATGAAATGTCTGCAAGAAAACTAGCAAGCTCAGAGAGTAACAAGCACCCCACAGTCTTTCCTCCTCGTCCTCCTCGTCCTCCTCCTCTTTACTCTCCTCCTCACAAATCTCACCCCCTTCCAGCACTGATGATGTTACCTAGTTAGGATAATGAAACACCTGCAAGTAATCTAGTAAGCTCAGAGAGCAACAAGGACCCCTCTAAATTCTATTGCTTATTGCTACTCAGTCCAAGGGTGGTTCTTTGGGTGATATAAAAATAAACCTTTTATTATTTTATATTTTATTTTATTTATTTCATTTTATCGTTGTATTTATACTCCTATTTTTATCATCTCCTTTTATTTTCTGCACGTTTTATTATGATTCCAAACAACACAAATGTTTTTTGTTTTTTTTAAAAAAAATCTCCTCTTTTCTTTGGTCTTTACCGGAAGCCCTCAAGGGTGCCGCCTATTGCTTCATGGCTGTGTGGACGGTGCAAACACCTAGGCATATAAAGAGGGTGCTTTGTCACAGAGGAGAAAAGATTTAATTCATGGGAGCCATCACAGTGTGATTAAATAAAATAAATAAAACCCATGTGTGCCTGAACCCTGCAGAAAAGAGATGCGGCTTTGAGTGCCTCATTCCCACTTCCAGTTTGACTTTTTTTAGACCCCTATTCCGTCCCATGGCCCATCAACAGGGATCGGCTGCTATCGGTTCGCACAGTTCCGGGCAAACCGGTAGCTAATTTTAGGGCCGGTTTGGTGAACCGACAAATTCCCAACCCTGGCTGGCCCACCTCTTCCAGGTGTCCCCCACACAGCCCGTTTTGGATCACAGGTAAGTGTGGAAGTCCGTTTCCGGCCTCGAAAGAGGCTCTGGAGCCCAGGGAGGCTTCTCCCACATTCCCGGAGTCTCGAGGAAAGCCTCCAGATCCTAGGGAGGGCAAAAACAGCCTCCCCGTGGCCCATTTTCGCTCCCAGGCCAGAGAACCGGTGGCTAAATATTTTTGAAGCCCAAGCCTGCCCATCATGGCCTCTCTCTGCTCCAACAGTGTACTAAAGTGCCCAGGGAACCATTCTTGCCCAGTCAAAGCCTACACAGAAGTTGTGCGATTCTCTTCTTCCTTTGCATGTAACAGAATAACAAGAGTTGGAAGGGACCTTGGAGGTCTTCTAGTCCAACCCCCTGCTTTGGCAGGAAACCCTATAGTACCATTTCAGACAAAATGGTTACCCAATCTCTTCTTAAAAAACTTCCAGTGTTGGAGCAATCACAACTTCTGGAGTCAAGTAGTTCCACTGGTTAATTGTCCTCACTGTCAGGAAATTTTCTCTTTAATTCTAGGCTTCTTCTCTACCTTAACCCTGGTTTAATCCTGTCCCTTTCCAGGTTGTGCCTTTGTTAAGTTTTCCTCGCACAACGAAGCCCAAGCAGCCATCCACGCTCTCCACGGCAGCCAAACCATGCCCGTAAGTAAACACCCAAATCTTGTCACAGGTTAGAAGAAGACCCAGATGGATATAATTTAGCACCGTGTCCATCTGGGGTCAATGGAAATTGAGTAGGGGCAAACTTCCTGCTAGGAAGACAGTAGAGATGCTCTGTTATCCAGGTCAAAGGTGTTTTTCTTGTTTTCCTCTTTGAAGACATTTCGCTTCTCACCCAAGAAGCTTCTTCAGCTCTGACTTTGTGGGGAACGGAAGGATTTATACTCCTTGCAGACACAGCTGGTCATTTGCATCCTTTTAGAGGGTCGTTGAGGCCACTTGGAGGTTTATCTGTGTCCTCAGGGTCACCTGAGTAATGCAAACGGGTGTGGAGCTTTCTTGGCTGCAGGATGTTTTCTGGCCTGGGTCCCTTCCCTGCCGCAGGCTGCTGGGGATAAGTCTATGTTGGCTGCATCTCAAACTTCAGGCACAAATTTTAGATAAACCTACAAGTAGCCTCAGGGACTCTCTCAAAGAATGCAAATGACCAGCTGTCTGCAAGGAGTATAAATCCCCCTGTTCCCTACCATTCAGTCAGAGCTGAAGAAGCTTCTTGGGTAGGGAAGCAAAATGTCTTCAAGAAAAAATGTTGAGGTAATTCCCCATTAGGAGAATGAGCGCATACAGGGAGACGTATTTGAGAGAAGCGTTTGAATAATACACACACAGAACACAGATACACTGTACAGTAAATGTAGGTTTTTTACTTCCAGAAACGTTAAGCAAAGTCCAAAACAAGCAAGTCCAAAGACATTCACAGGTAAATCAGTCAGTTTTTCAATCCAGGGATAATCCAATAACAAATTCCAGTGTCAAAAACAGTTCAGTAACAAACTTACATCAAATCCAGAAATAGCAGTCAATTAGGAAAAATGGAGGAACGGCAATACTTTCCAACAGAAGGAAACAGAGATGCACTCACACTCTCTTTCTGAGACTCAGACTAAGACTAAAACAACCCAGGTTTCTGGCTCCCTCTTATGGCCGTTTGAGAAACCACGCCTAATTACTAGTTTTGCATTTTCTTAAAGATACAGTTTTAAAATGTCTATCCTGGTTTATATATTTCTAACCCAAATACTTGTTAGGTGACTTATATTCCTAACAAAAAAACCAAGAAAAGTTCAGTTGCCTCTTGAAAAAAAAAGCACTTTGGGACATCCTACTAAGAAATTGAATGCAATGGGAATTGCAGCGTAGGAATCAGGCTTGTTCTAGGTTTCAAAATGCAGGGGAAATTTGAAAGGGGCACCCAAGATGGGTTGGGCTGAAGCCCAGTTTGCGAGCACAGGTAGTCCTCGACTTATGACAGTTCGCTTAGTGGCCGTTTAAATTTACAACTGCACCAAAAAGTGACCTGTGACCATTCTAGACCACGAGCCACAGCGGTGCAGTGGTTAGAGTGCTGCAGGGCTCCTTCTGCTGACTGCCGGCTGATTGCAATTTGAGAGTTCAAATCCCACCAGGCTCAAGGTTGACTCAGCCTTCTGTCCTTCTGAGGATGGTAAAATAAGGACCCAGATTGTTGGAGGCACCAGGCTGACTCTGTAAACTGCTTAGAGAGGGCTGGAAAGCACTGTGAAGTGCTATTGCTAGGATTCGTCTGTATGACCGTTGCAGAATCCCCACAGTCACAGGGTCGACACTTAGAAGATTGGCAACTGACTTGAACTTAGGATGGTTGCAATGTCCCAGGGTCATGGGATCCCCTGCCTTCGGACGAGCGAAGTCAATGGGGAAGCCAGATGCACCGAACAAACATGCTCGCTTAACAGCTGCAGTGATTCACTTAACAACGGTGGCCAAAAGGTTCGCAAAAGTGGGTGTGACTCACTTAACGAGGGAAATTCGGGCTCTTGTCGCAGTCGTAAACCTGTTTGGTTTCTGTGCTGTACAACTGAGCAGCTGAACGGCCCCTAGAATCACAGAGTTGGAAGGGGCCTCGGAGGTCATCTAGTCCAACCCCCTGCTTAAGCAGAAGCCACACTACCACTCCAGGGAAATGACAGAATCACAGAGTTGGAAGGGACCTCGGAGGTCATCTAGTCCACCCCCCTGCTTAAGCAGAAGCCACACTACCACTCCAGGGAAATAACAGAATCACAGAGTTGGGAGGGGCCTCGGAGGTCATCTAGTCCAGCCCGCTGCTCAGAAAGAAGACCCTCTACCATTCTAGATAAAACGGTCGTCCGACCTCTTCTTAAACCACTATCGCCCCAGTTTGTCCACTCTTTTCCCACCCCAAGTTTGCCCTTTTGTCTAGCAGGGTGCTTCTTCCAGCCTCGTGGTGAAGTTCGCGGACACAGACAAGGAGCGGACGCTGCGACGGGTGCAGCAGATGGTGGGGCAGCTTGGCATCCTCACCCCGTCCTTCGCCGCCTTGCCCTTCAGCCCGTACAGCGCCTACGCTCAGGCGGTGAGTATCAGTGGGACGCGAGCCGGTTTTCTTCCCATCGGAACTGGGAAACGTGGGCTGCTGAAGCGACCGGGATCGTGCAGGCTTGCAGGAGGTGAGTTGGAATGCCTCTGTGCCTGCGCCAAATGCATGTTTGGCGCAGGTGCGCGCGCAAATTGCGTGCGCACGTGCTGACGCACCAACCCACCAAGCCACGCCCACCAAACTGGTGGTCAAACTTTTTGCAGCCCACCCCTGGCGTGCACGTTAGGCGCACGCATGCTCCGGATCCACCCAACTGGTAGTGGGATCCCACTGCGGATTGGATCCTGTGAAATAAACCTTAACAACCGAGGAGGCAAGAAAGGTCATAAAAGGCGGGCGAAATTCACTTCACAACCATCTTGCTTAGCAACAGGAATTTTTGAGCTCCACTGTGGTCATAAGCCAAGGACTGCCTGAATTACGTTGAGTTCTGCAATACCTTCTTTGCAAAAGTATTTTTTTTAAATTATTTATATGTATTTCTTTCTTGTTTTTTTAGTTTTATTCAATTTTTTCCAAAACAAAATAAAAAAAAGAGTTCTTT